GGCGATCCTTCCGCCTCAGCCTTCCAAGTAACTGGAACTACAGATGCAGGCCACCATGCCCGGCTAATTTTTTTTATTTATTGTAGAGATGAGGTCTCACCAAGTTGGCCAGACTGGTCTTGAACCCGCTGGCTCAGGCAATGCTCTCACCTCGACCTCCCAAAGTGCTGGAATTATAGGAATGAGCCACATGGCACAGCAAAACAGCTGTTTTTAATCACCGCAGTTGCTGAGGTTATCTTTGGAAATTCCTGCCCTCTGGTGTCCAGTATGGAGAACAACTTCTGTGTTAGTTGTGACCGTTATCAGAGGAGGACTAGCGTGAGAGCTAGAGGCTCTTGATCCCTGGCAGGGGACTATCCCCAGGTATAGATAGGCGAGTGTCAAGCAAATTGAGTCCCAGAGTTTCTTTCTTAATGAAGTCCAACAGAATTTTACTCCAGGTTTTCTCAACCTTAATACTAATGACATTTTAAGCCAGCTCATGCTTTGTTGAGACATCGTAGGCTGTTCAGCCGTATCCCTGGCCTCATACCACACCTCCAGCTGTTGGGACAGCCCCCAAAATTCCTCCAGACATTGCCATTGCCAAATGTTCCAGGGCAGAGCAGGGGGCGATTCCCAGGCTGCGAACCACTGCTCTCAGCTGACAAAGCACATTTATTCCATGCATCACTGACCTTAAAGCAGCACTGAACCCGGAGGGTTATGGCACCGAGTTGGAGTGTAAGCTCCTGAGTTCCCATACTGTGTGCTACAGGAGGAAGAGTTCCAGGTGCCAGACATGAAAACATCTGCTTTTTTTTTTTATAGGACACACAGTCCACAATCAAAAATTAATTTTTTAATGAAAGAAAAGCATTTCTGAGGCATGGTAGGAGTAGATGTTGACGCATTTATTCGAGTGACCTAGGAGGTGCTGGAACTGATGCAAAGATAGGATGGTCCTGCCATTAAGGAACTGACAATCTTAGAGAGGCTAGTGGCGTTGTCTTCAGTTACAAGAGAAAGCCCAACTCTAGGTGACTTAGACAATAATGGGATGTTATTGGCCCATACATTTGAAAAGAACATAGGCAGTGCAGACCTTAGGTAAGGGTAGATCCAGTGGCTCATAATTGTCACGGAGCTGGGTTTTTCTGTCTCTGTTCTTCTTTCTCTATTGTTAATTTCATGTTAGGCAGGCTTCCCTTGTCTAACAGTCCCTAGTATTACATGCTTCTTCATTTCCAGTAAAAGACTTCAAATTCACTTTGTTTGGACTAGCTTAGGTGACCTGCCCACCTATGAATCAGTCATTGCCACCAGGGGGATGGAAAGTGCTGAATGGCTTAGCCAAGGGCACTTGTTTCCATCATGGCACCGGTTTCCACAGAAATGACATAGATTCACTCCCTAAAGGAGATCAAGACTTGCTGGGAGGGGAAAGAGAACCATAAATGTTGGGTGAAATGCGGACTGATCAGTCAGCCAAATGGTCTTTGCTTCTTTTCACACAGGCTCTGCTAGGTGATTTCATTCAGTCCCAAAGCTTTGACACCATTTTTGTGGGTTTCTGTGAAAGTCTCATCGCAGTCCTCTGGGCTTCATTCCTGCTGCTTCCCCCTCAGAAACGTCATTCAATGCACTCTTCTTTCAAAGATTCTTTCTCTTCCAAAGCTCAGTTCAGTCAGCCCCTGTGAAGTTACTTCTGCCTCCTCAGACATCCTTCCTCCCTCCCCACTTCCTCAGCCATTGTACTCACCTGTGTCTCACATCTGCACTGTTCCACTTTCCTGCTTCTCCAACTGTAGACCTACATCCTGCCTTTGAAGTACTTTTTGGTCTACTGCATTCCCTCCCTTTATTTAATGCCTAGCAAAGGAATCAAGAGCTTTGATGGGGATTCCTTTGGTATCCCCAAATTTCAAAAACAAGATAGCTAAAGTGTTCGTGTGTGTGTGTGTGTGTGTGTGTGTGTGTGTGTGTGTGTGTGCGTGTGTAAAAGAGAAGGAGAGAGGCAGTCTGGAACCGTGGAAAGAACACAGGATTTAGAGTCAGACAGTCCTGGGTTTAAGTCCTGACTGCACCCTTTCAGATCTGAGATTTTGACCAGTGGTTGCCCCCTGGACCCTCTTTTCTCTCCTTAAAATGTATGTGTAGTATTATAGATTCACTCTTTCTATGACTTTTCATGCTTGTAGGTATGCGCTCATGCTTGTGTTATTCATTGACACAGGGCACATTTAATAGTAAATAGTACACTTAGTAAATACTCATATTAGAACTACTGCCGTAGTTGTTACTTACTACATTGTGTGATTTTGGCTAGGCGAGATCAAAGAATGACAAAGAGGAATCCTTCAGGCCTTGAACAAATGTTTGGTCTTCCAGCTGCATATGGTTTCCAGATTCGAGATGGAGTGGAAGGGGGAGGTACAGCTGTCATTCCCACCGACCTCTCTTCCCGATCCCACCTTCCAAGGCCCTGCCCCGCCATTGTGTGCCCACGGTGCTTACATCAGCCCTCCATGCACAAGGTAAAGATAAGAATAACACTGGTTTTCATTTTTTTACATGATGTATTTTAACCTATTTAATGCATTTGGGACAGGTTTAATGCACAGTAGGTGGGAGATGATACAGGTCTGGGAAGATACCTAGTTGCATTTTATATGCAACATGGGCCTCTGAATATACTGTATCAACACCTCAATCCTTGTGTCTCTGGTTTGGCCTCAGCTCAGCCACTTACCAGCTGGTGGCTTTACTTCTCTGAACCTCACCTTCTTCATTGATGAAATGGGCTCTACCAGAGAGAATCATGCTCGCTTGTGTGTTCAGTGCATCTCACATCGGCCTGCTCACCTTTAATGTTTATATTATAAATACAACTGCTGGAAATCCAGACTTTCCCCTTGCCCAGATATATTCCTCTGGCTATGGTTATGGCATTGTTTTTTTCCTTGGCCCCAGTGCCCCGTCCTGGGCATCAGGGGCAAGGTTTTTCCTAATGATTATTCCACTGTTAATTATGTCAGTGCACTGCTTTGGAAAGCTGTATATAAACATTTGTGCTTAAAAGTTTGGGAATCTCAAGCCTGTTCTATCTTTGTAACAGTGGACACATTTTCAGAAGTGCATGCAGACTTTTCTGAGTCTAAAAACCTAAAATTCTATAATTGATAATTTTGAACATCTTTGGGAGAAAATGCACAATCCATAACCAGACTAGAGTATGTTGAGAAAATAATTTATTTAATTGTAAATCAGAAACTTTATTTTTAAAAAATCTTAAGAATAACCATCAATGAGATTTGTTTTCCCCACTCTGGAAATTAATGAGATCCTGAATTTGTCCATTGGGGATTTAAATTTTAATGAATTTTTTTAAATCGAGAAAGTCCCTCAAAAGTAAACTTCAACCCTTTTCTCTAAACTTTCAAGACAGATGATTCCCTTAGCTTAGGACTTAAATCATTAAACTTTCCCTATTCCAGATTGGATCCAAGACAGCTTTAGTAATAGAGAGGCAAGATTCTTAACTGATGCGGGGTTTACTTTTTCAAAGACTGCTAATACAGAATTTTTATTTGTTTTGTTCTGTTGAATGTGAGGTTGTTTTGGCAAGAACTGAAGTAGGAGGCACGGTGGAATGGTAGAAAAAAGCCTAAATCTTGTTTTATCGAAGAATCCCATTGCACCATCCATCAAGCTAGTGCCATGGCTCTTCAAATAAACCGCTTGAAAATGGAAACAAATGACCTAAACCGGAGCACAAGCAAAATATAAATACACGTGCATATGTAAATGTTGCCTCCCAATTTCCTTGACACTGACTGGCAGAACTTTAAATCATACACAGAACTGCACAGCTTCTCTTAGAGAAGGGAACTGAATGCTGAGCTGTTCAATCATGATAACCAGACCTCCCATTGCTATTCTTCGCGTTTTTGTTATAAAGCCCATTGTGACATTTGCACAGTGCAGATGGGGCAGAGGGAAATGAGAGGGACTTGACGGGAGGGGCTTTTTCTCCAGTCCACTCCTTGATGTCAGCCCTCCAAGCCGGGCTGCGAAACCTGAGGTTGAAACCAGCTAAATGGTAGGACTAGCCGATGACCCACTGTCCTCTGATGAAACCCAGGTCTTAGAGACGGAGCTCCTTGCTAGCCTTTCATCTCCTTGCCAAGGATCTGAAGACAAGCTGAAGAGTCTGGTAGACTGAATACGACTTGAGCAAAATAAGAAGCATCTTCCACTCAAGTCCTTGCTACTCATTTGTTGTGGGGTCAAGGAGGCGGGAGATCACCCACACTGCCTTCCCTTCAGTGCCTGGATCCATGATGCATTTGAGCACCAGCCCCATGCCCTGCGTCCCTCCAGGGTGGCACTGCCCCACAGTGATCAGTCCTTCTCTTCCACTGTCTTTGCTAGTTCATGGCAGACTCATGTGGAGGCTTTACTTTCATTCCACACTGAGTACCTTGACCCTGGGACTCTGACCACACAGCACCATGATGTCTACTGGGAATCTCCACCAATCTTTTGCACAGAAGCCAAACAGCATCCTGATGAGAAAAGGACGGACTGCATATGGCCCGAAGCAATCTGCTGTTGAAGCCTTGGCCAAGGCAAATGTTCCTTACTGAGAGTTCTGCTGCAGAGCAACTCCATGTTGCTTGAGACCCATCGGAAACAGGAAGACACTGAAATCAAGGCAACACCCCCACAGCCATATCTCATTGCCAAACACCTTTTGCTCCATCATGTTCTCTGGCACATGTAGAGTGTTTCTGGCTTTTTCCCTGCCTATGACAAGTTCTTTTGGTTCAGTTAAGAGTATTTCTCCCACATCCAGAACAGACATAAGAAATCACTGGGAATTTACATCTGATTAGCAAACATTCATTCTCCCATTATTATAAGGCTCAAAGTTACAAGGAGGAATAGTATGTGTTTACCCGGTTGGTGTTTTGTTAGTCTTTTTTTTAAGTTAAACTCAAAAGTGTTACTTTTCTGAGGAAGTGGCCGGAATAACACTCTCGCAAATTCAGAAACCTGCTGGCACAACTTGAAGTCAGACATTATTTCTAACCAAATTATACTCTTTTGTCTGCCAAGATAACCTGACAATTTTAATATCTGAAGGCAGGCCTATATGATAATCCCAACAGTATTCAGGAGATAAGATTTTAGAGGGTTTGTTGAGAAAGAAATACTTGTTTAGATGGCTTTCATCGTGCCACTCGGCTTCTATGTCATTTTTCTTGTCCTGGAGGATTCCCTTAAAGCACTCTTGGGTGATGTTGAGGACCTGAATGGGTGTTCCTCCAAAAATGGCTGCGTGGTAGTAAAAATCCCCCAGACCAAATGGAATGTATGCTGCTGACTCCTTCCGCCTCTCATAGGTAAACTCATGAGGATATGCCCTGTACCACCAGGCCTGCAGCTGAGCCACTGACTGACCCAGGGTCTCCACCCCGAAATTGTCTTGGAAGACCTGGTCCACGTCCATGCAGAAGAGGAAGTCGACCTCGTGCTGGATGTGGGCCAAGATGTGCTCCCCAATGGTCTTCATGCGCATCATACTGATGTCCTGCCACCTCTTTTCAGGCCTGACCTCAAACACTTTAGAAGAGCGCAGAGGACCCAGCTCTATCAAAGGCATCTTAGAGACATCATCCACCATGATGTAAAATATGACTTTGTGGCCAACCATGAAGTATTTATTAGCAGATGTTATGAACTCCTCCAAGTAATGCTCAATGTATCTGAAACAAAGAAGAAAGGGAAGCATTTAACCTCTGAGATTCCTGCAGGACACCACATGCTATTAAAATCATCTACTCTGTATTTTACGGTTAGGAGGGGAATGATTTCTCTCTACCCCAGATGTGTGTTTTCAAGTGGAGGGACATCTGTTAATGTAACACTCCTGGCTACTCTCCACCATTCAGTTACGCAATCCTGAGGGAGGTGGAATGACTTATCTGACTGCCAATTTTGGAAGAGCGGTTGGGCATGCATAGTCCTGTCCCTCCTCTCTTCTTGCTCTTGGAAGCTGGCCAATTCAAGAGAGCATGCATTCTCAACCGCTCTGGGCCTTGCAGTAAGCTCAGTGGTAGAGGATCTATTCCCCTATCTAGAGACTTGTAGCTTCTAAAGCTGTAAGTGCCTGGGTGCCTAAGTCTTTCTAACTCTGTGATTCAATACGTAGGAGGCCCAGGGCCTGGCAACATAAACCACATTCTCCAACACAGCTTTAGCTATAATCAAGGTGACATTTACTACCCCCTGCCTTATTTCCTCCTTTGTCTGATGTATCAATTGGCTCAGACTTTGGGCGGTCAAAGGGGCTGCCAGTCCTTGAGCCTCCCTCAAAACCCACAACATATAAACCAGTGTTGCTACTGCCAGACCAGACACAAGAATGATGTGACCATTAGGTCCACTGGGGATGCATTAAGCTCAAACAACAGCATGCTCTTATCCTCCTCTGTGACACAGAGGATGAATTATGGAACACAGATCTCCTTTCTTGTTACGTAGGCATCCCGTGGGTCTCCCACTGGTCACTGAAAACACCAATCCACTGTCCACATACCATCATTATAAATCCATCCAAATACTAAACAACCTCTGATTTGATCTTATTTTAGCTATTTTATTTGGCCTTACTTTAACTAGTTTTTCTTTGTCTTAAGAAAAAAAAGACAATTTTTTAAGAGCAGTTTTAGGTTCACAGCAAAATGGAGCGAAAAGTACAGAGTTCCCATTTACCACCTGTCCCCACACTTGCACAGCCTCTCCCCTCCTTCAATATTCCTTCACCTGAGTGGTATATGAGGGAGACCTCCCAAAAACCACAATTATATTTTGGAGTGCGGGCCCCTTGTGGTACAGTCTTCCTCCACTAAGTGTTCTGGGAACCCATCAGCATCAGTGTAACAGCTAGCCTTGTTGTGAGAGGCTGTGAGCAGCTTCAGTTAATTTTTTTTGGAGATTCTTTCAATGCATTTGTTCATTTCATGATGGGTGATTTACGAGTATACATGCCCACACCGCACTGAGTGATCAGCAGATTTTGACCAAAAACAGCATTACCCCGGTACCCCACCCTCCCTATTCACCCATCTCACTCCAAGAGACTTTATTTGTTTCCCCAGATAAAAAAGTCCTCAAAGGGAAATGTTTTGCTGACGTGGAAGAAGTGAAACAAAAAAATGGCAGAAGCACTAAAAGGCATCAAAATTGACAAGTTCAAAAACTGTTTTGAGTAGTGGAAAAAGTGTCTCGATAGTTGTATTGCATCAAATGTAGAGTACTATGAAGGTGACTGAAGTTTAAACATGTAAGAATAAATACACAATTTTTTAATAAATAAATTCTGCTTTTTGGGGTCTCTCCTCATATTTGTTACAGGTGATGAACTTACATGGGTACATCACTATCACCTAAAGTCCACAGTTTACATTAGCGTTCACACATCGTGCTGTACATTCTGTGGGTTCTGATGGCTGCATAATGGCATGCCTCTACCCCTGTAGTGTCACGCAGAGCTGTTTCGCTGCCCTGAATATCCTGTGTGCTCCGTCTATTCATCCCTGCCTCTCCCTCTGCCCTTCACAACCACTGATTTTTTCATTGTCTCCTTCATTTTACCTTTTTCAGAATGTCATGTAGTTGGAAACATACAGTATGGAGACTTTCAGTTTGGGTTCTTTTATTTAGTAAGAGGCATTTAAGGGTCGTCCTATCTTTTCATGGCTTCATAGTGCATTTCTTTTTCGCTCTGAATCATGCTCCATTGTCTGGATGTACCACAGTTTATTTTTCCACTCACCTACTGAAGGATATCTTGGTTGCTTCCAAGCTTTGGCTATTATGAATAAAGTTGCTATTAACATCCATGTGCAGATTTTTGTGTGGGCATACATTTTTTTTATAACTCATTTGGGTAAATACCAAGGAGCACAACCACTGGATCGTATGATAAGAGTACGTTTCGTTTTGTAAAAAACTGCCAGGTTGTCTTCCAAAGCTACATGTTGCATCTCCACCAGCAATGAATAAGAGTTTCCAGGCTCCACATTTTTGTCAGCATTTGGTGTTGTCAGTGTTTTGAGTTTTGGCCATTCTAATTGGTATGTAGTTGTATTTTAACTATTTATCTATTCATTCGGAAAACACTACATTGACATCTTCTGTAAGTCCACGAAATAGACTATCTGGTGAAGCCATGTATGGAGACTATAGGGAAGAGGAAGAAGAAATCAGATGGTTTAAAACTGCCCATCCAGCCGGGCTCGGAGGCTCAGCCTGTAATCCAGCACTTTGGGAGGCCGAGGTGAGTGGATTGCCTGAGCCTGCGGGTTCGAGACCCACCTGGACAACTTGGCGAGACCTCATCTCTACAATAAATAAAAAATTAGCCGGGTGTGGTAGCGTGCACCTGTAGTTCCAGCTACTTGGAAGGCTGAGGTGGAAGGATCACCGGAGCCCAGCAGGTGAAGGCTGCAGTGGCCAGGAGCGGTCACTGCACTCCAGTCTGGGTGACAGAGTGAGACTCCAACTCAAAAAAAAAAAACAACAAAAAAAACTGCTCATCCAGACCCAAAACTCATGGGCAGTGAATATGGACTGAATTTAATTTGGTGATCCCCCTAACTGACCAATCATGATGTTTAGTGAATGATAATGAAGGACTTTTTGCTTTTTTATTGTTGCTTGGATTTCCTTTCTTTGCTATCAAAACAAAGTGCACTCTTAATGCTGGTATCCAAAAACCCAAGGGGTTACAGTATCAATTCTTTTGGTTTTTTTTTTTTTTTTT